GAAGCAACTCCTTGCTCTGCAGTGGAAGCCATGGCACCCACGGAGGACACTGGCATGGCCCTGTGGTAAATGTGCACCATTCTAGAGGAGGCATGTCATGTTCTCAGCCCGTGCCTGGCTACATTCTAACTTCCATAGTTCCTTTTATTCTCTTCTGCTTTGATTGCATCACAAATCAATTTTTATATTTTACATAGTTTGAATAAACGAAATATTATAAGCAAATAAACAAATAGCCAATATTCATTCCTGCCTTATAAACTTCTGAAAATAGAGCTTTTTGTGAAAGAACGATGAGCTCCTCCATCGTACACGTGAGTATAAGTCTAATTAGGTGAGATGTAATTGCATTTATTTAACCTTAGCATCACAGTTATCTTTGCCTGAGACAAATTTAAACTTTAACTGCAGTTTATGTGATGGCCATCTGTCAAATATTCCTGGGCAAAGCCCCACAGGCTCACTTGAAACAGGGCAAACTAGGAAATCTGCAAGCTTCATGCAATATTGGCAAGAACTTGCTGGGTAGAAATCAGTCTTAATAAAAATAAATGAAATTTAACCTTTTGTTTTTTTAAACATGATATAAATCTATATGACTACATCTTTACATATTGGATGGTCTTCTTTGGCCATACACACATATGAGTTCAGTAAAGTATGGAACTACAGGCAAACTGTTCTTCAGTCTTATCGCATGAAGACAAAAAGGTGCTATGGGCAAATTAATCTCTTACTAAAAGTGTTTTCTTATTATTTGAAAATGTCAAATTACGTTCAGCAAAGTTTATATAATACATTGCAAATAAAGATGGGGTTCTTATATGTATTTAATTTTTATGTGGAGAATAGGGACATATATAGTGTGTATATATATATACACACACCATACATATGTTATGAAATTTTATATATATACATATATATGTGTGTGTGTATATATATATATATATATATATATATATATGGAACTGGCACAATAAGAGATTCCTCATTTGGAACTATGCAGTCCTTAAACTTCAGCTTTTAGGCAAGCCAATTTAGTATGGAATATAAATTTGTGATTTTAAATATTCATTATAATTGATATTAATGAACACATAGCAATGAAAGATAAAAGTTTAGTCTTATATCATTGTACCTCTTTTGATTATAATTAGAAGCTAACTTTGAATTCATTTAAATATTTGACCAAAACAATTAGTTTCTTATTTCTTTTTAAAATGTTTAAAAATATCTTTTAGCGTCATAATTAATAAAATGAAGTCTTCACGAGTTGTTGTAGACGATTATAGTGAATGTAGGGTTTTGCCACTGACCCCACTTTTTGGGAGTTTTGCCTGTGAGACAGCTCTGTGCCTCTCTCGTGGAACTGCCCTCAGTTGAGGAGAGCTGACTTGACCCAGGTCACACAAGCTGGTAGGGGTTGGGAGTAAGGCAAGGGCTGACATCCATTGACTAGTCCATGTGGAGGAACAAAGGCCCACTCACCCCTATATCTCAAGGTGGGGCAACTCTACAGGGCCATTTGAGCTCCAGAGCTCTCTATGTGGTCATCCTTTGTCATACCTGCCCTGAAGCTCAATTTCTCCATCTGCCCAATCCTACGGCCTGCGTTCCTCCACAGGTACCATTCCTAAGAGTACTGTTCACTACGTTTCCTGCATGCATGTCCCCATCTCAGAGTCTATTTCATAGAGAATCCGTATAAGACAAAGAGCAAATCTCTTTAGATATGCTCTGAGAGGAAAGTTTAATATACAGCATTTTAATAAACTTCACCGGGAATTTTTTATAACAGTTCTAATTCAACAAAATTTATTAAACATCTATGATGTTCTAGGCATTGTGCTAAGCACGAAAGATATAAAGTTAAGCAAAACTGAGTTAATCAAAATTGATTTCAAAGAACTTGCTGGCATGAAATACAGACGTTACAACAAGTGAACATAATTCAATTGAGACAAGCCCTATATGAAGAGAATGGACACACTGCTCATGGGGAGACCCATGAGACAGGAATGACTTCACTCAGGACATGTGAAACAAATTCTTCAAAAAGCTCAAGCCTCTTGAATCATTCTTTCTTCTCTCTCTCTCTCACATCTCACAGCCAATCTTTCAACAAAAGCTATTACCTCCGCCCTTAAATATACAATAGTCCCCCCTTGTCTGCTGTTTTGCTTTCGGCGGTTTCAGTCAGCCACAGTCAACTACAGTCCAGGAGCAGATGAGCCTCCTTCCGACTTAGCATCAGAAGGCCACCAGTGGGCTGACGTTATGTCACAATGCCCTTGTCATTCACCTCATCACACAGGCATTTTATCACCTCACATCAGCAGGAGAAGAAGGGCGAGTCCAGCACAGTAAGATCTTTTGAGAGAGAGATCACATGCACTAACATTTATTACAGTATATTGTTATCATTGTTCTATTTTATCATTACCGTTATTAATCTCTTACTGTGCCTAATTTAGAAATTAAACTTTATCATAGGTATCTACAGAAAAAACATTGCATACATAGGGGTTGGTACTATCTGCGGTTTCAGGCATGCACTGGGGGTCTTGGAATGTATCCCCCTGCAGATGAGGGGAACTGCTGTATCCAGGAGCCAGGCTGCACCCCCTTCACTGCTTCTAATCTATGCAGGTCTAACATCTCTCACAGACACAGCCTCATAACTGGGCTTTGTGCTTCTACCTCAACACAAGTCGTGATTCTGCTAACACGGAAGTCAGATCATGAATTGCTCTGCTGAAAACATTCCAGAGTTCTCTTCTCAAACTAAGAACCAAAGCCGTTACACCTACAGTGTCCCGGGCCATCTGCCTACGAAGGCCAGCACATGCCTGCCTAGGAGTCTTGGTATCTGTGGTACTCACTGCTCCCTCTGCCTGAGTCCCCCTGCCCCTCCTTCAGATTTCTCCAACTGTCAACATCTTCCAGAAGAATTCCCTGACCACCCACCCCCAGCACAACATACCCTCTTTTTCTGCTTTACTTCTCTTCATTGCGCTTACCATCTGCTCTGGTCGTGATTATTATTTATTTTATTTCAAGTTTGCCCTTGCCCACCTGAACATAAACTCCATGAAGGCAAGGATCTTGACCTGGTTTGTTTTTGGCTCCATACCCAATTCCTACAAATGCCCCAAGAACAGAGTAAATGCTACTAAATATGGTTAAATAAATGAATGTTTACAAATAACGAAGAGACATAAGAGAAGGGTGAAACCTTTCAGTGTGAACAGTAGCTGGAAAGCACGGACATCAAAGTATTGCTAATCTAGTGTGATGAAAATGGAAACATTCTCTGTGGTTGGAGCTGGAAACACAGGTGAATATGTAAACCATGAAACACGGTTGTCACGGGCTGAACTGTTCACACGTTGAAGTCCTCGCCATCAGGACCTCCGAATGTGACTTTATTTGGAGACAGGGCCTTTAAAGAGGTGGCGAAGTTAAAATGAGGCCTTTAGGGTGGTTTTAATCCAATGTGACTGGTGTGTCTTTACAGGAAGAGAAATTTGGGTCTGCACAGTTACAGAGGGAAGAAAGTGCAAAGGCGTGGAGAAATCAACCATCTACAGGCCCAGGAGAGAGGCTCTCAAAGGCGCCAACACTGTTGGGCCTTGACCTCAGGCTTGCCGTTTCCAGAACTGAGCAAAGAGATTTCTGCTGCTTAAGCCACCCGGTCTGTGGTACTTTGTATGCCAGCTCTAATGGACTCGTATGATGGCATATGGCACCGTAAGGGATCTTTATCTCACAGGCCACTGTAACTTTTTAGCCAGGGCAGGAGGCGATCTGTGCGGAGATCGGAGTTTCAGGAAGACTGCATTTGCGGTGATACGGAAGGCGGACTAAAAGGGAAACAACGGGAGCCCTGGGGACTAACTGGGACATGTTTGTCATGGCTGTGACCTAGATCAAGTAGGAGGGAAGGGAAGAGGCGAGTAGGGAATTGGGAGAGGCCTCAGAGCCCAGACGGTTGGGACCCAGTGACGCGTGATAGGTGGGTGATGTTGACATCCATTACTAACAATTTAATAAAATGCAGGCATACAAAAGAGTTCAAATGACATAATTCACATGGATTTCAGCAGTTTCAGACTTGCGAAAATATCTCAATATGGGACCTTACGGAAGATGAAAGCAGCATTCATGCTGTTCCAGATGTGAATAGCACTCATTGAGAAAAGGGGCCTGCCGAAAGAGCTGCAGGCTACATCTCTATCTTAGGCATAATACGCATTAGCATATTTAAAAATTTGAGAATTTTGCAATGAATAAACCTACTTAACTTTGTCCAAAAAAAAATAATTTCCCACATTTATTTGATTATGGAACCTTTTTTTGTGAGGCACTTCTTAACCTCTCCCTAAACATGAATGCTCCAGAATTTAGTACAGTTTGGAAAACAGAGGTGTATTTTGATGCACTCGAATGGCTCCGAAAAATAGATAAGCTTTGTATGGGTAATTCCTATTTCCAATAGTAAAACTAACCAATGTTGTTCTAACACACTGGAAGAATAAACTCATTAAAGGAATATATAGCTGGTTTTCCTGTAGCCTAATTCTTACCAGATTAAAAAAAAGAAAATTCAGGATCTTTTTAAAAATATCACGAATTCTTTCACATCCCAAAAGAGCAACTGTCCATGTCTTTTTTTTTTTTTTAAGATTTTTATTTATTTATTTGGGAGCGAGAGCGAGAGCGAGAGAATGAGAGAAAGAACACGAGAGGGGTAAGGTCAGAGGGAGAAGCCAAAGGCAGTCGCTTAACCAACTGAGCCACCCAGGCGCCCCATGAGAAACTGTCCATGTCTTGAAACAAAAAACGATATTCTGGTGACTTAAGAGGAGCGTGTAGCTCAAATGCAGAAATCTGGGAGTTCTGACCAGGGTTCTTTGAATCTAGAGCCTGTGACGGCCTACATTTCCCCACATTCCACTAGGTTCTGAAGCCCAGGGTGTCCATGCACAGAGACTCACATGCGATGCGCACGTAGGCCTTCCTGCTCTTTGTGGTGCCCGCTGAGCTCCAGGCCACACACTGGCACCAGTAATCTTCGGGCCCAAAGAGTTCTTCGACTTGCTGGCGCGAAATCTCAATGCTCACTTCCCGGACAATGAGACCTGCCAAGAGAAACGGAGATTGAAGTCAGGAGAAGGCTTGTACTAGCAGACTACGAAACATCATACCATGTATTTCCCCACAGTGATCCATCTTGATGCCATTGATCACCATCCCAGATATTGCCTCTCTCCACCTGTGATCTTCCTCTGGCTCCCATTATTTGTCTCCCAACTTTTTCATTTTCTTATTTGCTATTTCAGATCTTCTGCTTTCATCAGAAGATGAAAGTGGAGTAGATCTATTACGGCACAAAATTACACTTTTTCCCAAAGCGTCCGACAAATATTCACCCTCCGCTGAGTTAGCTTGCTCGGTATATTCAAACATGAACATGAGTTTCACATCTTCTAAGGATCGTACCCCCACTATACAGGTCATGGGTAAGACATCCGTGTGCTACACATAACCTCACAATGATTAAATCTTCCTAACTCCTCACATGAAATGACAGAGAATAACCTAAAACTATAATCACAAGTATATAAATCATAAATATATATTGGTTTATGTATATAAATATATATCAATTTTATTATAGTATCATCTGGTACCATACAGCTATATACAGTTTTACAACACTTTACATAGTTTTACAATAATTGAATCCTCCTAACTCTTCACAAGGAATGAGAATGATCTAAAACTATAATCATGAGTACATAAATCATAAATATATACATGTCATATATCAGGTTTTATTATAATATGACCTAGTACTTTATAAATATGTGGTGATCATCTAAAACTAAGTTATTTTTATAGCTGTTTTTTAGTTATTAAAGCGCACTGCTTTCTTTAAAAAAAAAAATACTAGTCTTAGTTAACAAATCCTTGCTATTCTATCCAAAGAATGTATGACTTTAAAGTTTTCATGCATAATACTTTTTATGCATAATATTTTGAAAGCCCAAATGTTTCTCTATAATGTAACCAAAATCCTGTTAAAGTAGCTTCCAGCTAAAATGCTCAAATATTTGGATTTTATTTTACAGCATTATGTAATCCTGCATAACACAAATTGAACTAAGAATCTGGGATTATCATTTTAAGAGTATTTATCTTGATATATCAAAATCTATTTCAGAGAGTCATTCTGCAAAATGCCTCTTTGCACTGAGCAAGAAGGATCATCTGAACGATGTATGTGGGCAACTGCCAATTTTCCTGCACACTCTATCAGAATGAAGTGCTTATTGAGAGAACTAACAGGGAGACCCTTAGGGTTAAGTATAAGCACAGTAAGAAAGATGAAATATATTGCTTTGTACTTTTTATTCATGTATTCATTCATTCATTCATTGAACAAATATTTATTTCATATCAGTTATGGAAAAGATATTGCCCTAGGGACTTGTGAATCTCTGATGAGTAGGATAGTCATTACCCTCAATGAACTTATATAATTGTGAAGGGGGTACATATTAACTAGAGATTATACAATTTATTTTCTTGATTACAATTGTGTTCAATGCTACAAAGGAGAAGTATAGAGAAAATGAGAGTGAATAACAAGTAAACCCAACTTAGTATGAAGGATTCAACATGAGTTAAGTTGGTTAAATTATATAGGGAGAGGGACAGAACATATGGGAAGAAGCAGGAAAGAGAATGAGGAGATTGGGAACCCGGAAGACAGCTGAGCACCAAACACAGAGATAGTGGCATCAGATGAAGCTAGAGACAAGAAAACAATCAGTCAATACACAGTCCTGTAGACCAGTGGTTCTCAAAGTGTGGCCTCAGAGCAGTTTCATCAGCATCACGTGGGAACTCGCTGGAAGTGAAAACTCTTGAGTCCCACTCCAGACTCAAATTGAATAAGAAACTTTGAGAGTTGGGACCAGCGATTTGTGGTTTAACTCGCACTCAAAGAATTTAGATGCTTGCTATGGTTTGAGAATCTGTTGCACACCATGTTTAGGATTTGGAATTTCTTTCTGAAGGTCATGGATGTCATTAAAGTGTTTTAAGCAAGTAGATGGCATCATCAGATGAGAATTAATATATATGTATATATATGTGTATATATGTATGTATGTGTATATGTGTATATATATGTGTGTGTGTATATACACATATATGTGTGTGATATGTGTAAGATATAGAGCTTAGTTCCTAGAAGGTATGATTTCTTAAACTCTTTGACTATGACTTCTTGGTATAGGTGACATGAAGGTGTCATCTAAAGACACTAAAAAAGAGTATTCCAGAACTTACCCTAAAACCTAGAACATGCTCAAATGGGTAAAAGCCCTCAGGGAAATTAATGAACACCCAATAGAAGTAGATGCTGTCCCACTGGGGAAACAAGCAATATTTTCTTTTTTTTTTTTTTTTTTTTAAGATTTTATTTATTTATTTGACAGAGAGAGACACAGCGAGAGAGGGAACACAAGCAGGGGGAGTGGGAGAGGGAGAAGCAGGCTTCCCGCCGAGCAGGGAGCCCGATGTGGGACTCGATCCCGGGACTCCGGGATCATGACCTGAGCCGAAGGCAGTTGCTCAACCAACTGAGCCACCCAGGCGCCCAACAAGCAATATTTTCTATTGAGAACTGATGGGACTTGAGTCAGAGAAACATAGATCCACTCAAGGGTCCCTGAACTGAAATGAAGCCCAGGAAAGTGGATTTTATAAGCCCAAGGCAGGGCAAGATCCTGATGGGGCCACTCTATGGTCAAAAGTTTATTAAATATATTTAAAGTGATTTTAAAGTCTTGAAAATTAGCAAGGCTTTTATGCTTATACAGTGACCATTTAAAAATAATTTTCAAGGGCTGCCTGGGTGGCTCAGTTGGTTAAGTGTCTGCCTTCAGCTCAGGTCATGATCCTGGATTCCTGGGATCCAGCCCCATGTCGGGCTCCCTGCTTAGCGGGGAGTCTGCTTCTCCCTCTCCCTCTGCCCTTCCCCCGACTCATGCTCTCTCTCTCTCTCTCAAATAAATAAATAAAATCTTTAAAAAAAAATAAAAATAATTTTAAGTCACTGGCGCATCTAAATCCCTCACCCCTCTATGAAAAGATTAGTGTATTATTTTAGTCAACGTCCAAATAATAAGACAATCTCCACAGCAGAAATCCCAACTTATTAACAAAAAACACTACCTCCTTTCCACTTTCCTAATCCCTGCTTTGGTCCTCTGACTTTCCTGTCCTACTGTAATGGTTCTCATTTTCTGATATCTAGACGTTCACAGAAAGATGGAGCACAGTTTTCCCCCTCGACTCCCACCTTTCTTTTTATTCCACTCTCCGGTATTTCATACTTTTGCCTGTTTTACTTGTTTATACCTCCTCTCTTCATGCAGAAATTCAGTTACTGGAAACAAAACTCTTCCTTCAAAAGTTGTTGCAATAAATTTATAGTCACCAAAGGGCTGATAAACCTGCAGTGTGTATTTCCTCAGAACTATAATGGCTTTTTCCAAAATGCAGGGCAGCAACAAATGGGCTCAAGATATTAAAACCACACACAAATATTTTGTGTCCCAAGATGATAACTTCAGGTTCCATTCCTCATCCCCCGCCTGCCCCTCCCCACCTTTTTACTTAAAGCAATTACAGGAAACCTAATTAAATGCTAGGGTAGCTTCACTAGAGCCACTGTATCCTTCAGCCCAAATAGGCTCATGGATGTTTCTACTGACCACAAATCTGAGGCTTTTTCAGAAGCCACAGACAGACCCTCCTGCTACAGGGTTTATTCATAGTATGAATGTTCTGAATTGTGCGGCTCAGGCTCTCTGTGGGTGCAGGAGTCAAGCACACACCGATTTTTGTCTTTAGCTTCATAGATGCCCCATTTAGGAGGAGATGGATTGATTAGTTGGCTTACAGTTGTCGTGCCACAGGCCCTAAGTTTACATTCCAACTTTTGGTCAACAACACTAGAACAAGAAAGAACTGAAGCAGGAAGTCTCTCAACACTTAAAGCTTAGAATGCCCTACAATCAGCTGCGTTAGTCAAGCTCTGAGATACTTTGTTATATACCATCTATTCATTACCCTAGGTAAGTTCATTACCTGTGACACTCTGCTCATCAAACCAGAGGCTAGTGGTTTGGGTAAAAGTAGGTAATATCCTTCCTCTTTGAAAGTAAAATTTTAAATCTGCTTGAAGTCCTGTGATGGAAAAAGCAAGCTGCCTTGAAATTTGTAATGCCATCAGCATTACTTCCAAGGCGGGCTGCTTTGAAGAGCATTTGGGAACTTGAAATTGGTTTCAGGTTACTTAAGGGTGGGGGAAAGTGCTTCGTTCTACAGATTTACTCAAATACAAATGTGTATTTTCCATCACGTCTGATAAGATCAAAGATTTTCCATCAGCATTCTTCCTTTAATAGAGGCATCTCCAGGACGCATGCTGTTTGAAGTTTGCAGTGATCTGCTTTTATAATAGGATTCATTGTGGTTTGGGAGCCAGAGTGCAGGCAAGTAATTAGCATGCTATATCAAGAAGTCTTATAATGAATATGAATATGCACTTGCTAATAGGGAGTTTCAAATGATTTTAGAAATCCAGATGCAAATGCAACCCTCTGATTGGATCTTTGTAAGGCTATACATGCATATGGCAATAATATCTGTTAAAATGACATTTATTCCTTATCTTGAGCAAAATTTTAATTTTATAGTAGTGTTCAGGCACCACAAATAGTGTTTTCCTAGAGGTTATTATAAAACGATCACAAATACATGATGCATACTGTTGAATAATTATTTAAAGCAGTATCTACATTCCCTGAGAAATATAATCTGTAGTACCATCAACAAACATTAAGGGTCCACTAATGTCAAAAATTACGTTAAGTTCCAGAAATGTAAAGATGGACAAAATATCGCCTCCAGCATTGTGATCATTTATCTCGTTTATTAGGTGATCGTGCATCATCTCAGAAGATTTTTTAACATGTGGTCATCAAATCCTCGCCTTCTGATACCCCACGTACGTTTCACTAAACAGCATCCTAAGCCCACATTAGACGTAGGTGTTATGTAT